CAGCCCCTATTATTGTATCAGCCCAACCCAGCCCCTATTATTGTATCAGCCCAACCCGGCCCCTATTATTGTATCAACACAACCCGGCCCCTATTATTGTATCAGCCCAACCCGGCTCCTATTATTGTATCAGCTCAACCCAGACCCTATTATTGTATCTGCTCAACCCAGCCCCTATTATTGTATCAGCTCAACCCAGCCCCTATTATTGTATCAGCCCAACCCAGCCCCTATTATTGTATCAGCCCAACCCAGCCCCTATCATTGTATCAGCCCAACCCAGCCCCTATTATTGTATCAGCTCAACCCAGCCCCTATTATTGTATCAGCCCAACCCGGACCCTATTATTGTATCAGCCCAACCCAGCCCCTATTATTGTATCAGCCCAACCCGGCCCCTATTATTGTATCAGCCCAACCCAGCCCCTATTATTGTATCTGCTCAACCCAGCCCCTATTATTGTATCAGCCCAACCCAGCCCCTATTATGGTATCAGCTCAACCCAGACCCTATTATTGTATCAGCCCAACCCAGCCCCTATTATTGTATCTGCTCAACCCAGCCCCTATTATTGTATCAGCCCAATGCAACATTCATTAGCGGAATCAGGAATATGTGATTCTTGTCTACCTGTTTCTGTCTATGTATACGGTTTAGCTGCATATAATTCATGCCTTGTCCAAGGACAAACAGAAATTCCGAGTGGTTCCTACATTGGGCTCATTTCCATGATTGTTGGTAAAATTTAGCTGCTAAGCAATCACTGCGGGAGATTATCATAAGAGCAAATTATAGGTCAACTTAAAGGTGTCATTTACAGCTTCATTGACCTGATACACAGGACTGCTTTAACAAAACATATCTATTCAGTCTACAGGGAAGCTGAATGCACAGAAGGAGCAGTGGCTCATTATTTAATCACTGTAACACCATGGTGAATATGTGCACCTCTCCCTCTTCCATATCCACTGATGGTGATGTCTCACTTCATTTGTGAGATGGTGACGGTGAGATGGTGATGTCTCACTTCATTTGTGAGATGGTGACGGTGAGATGGTGATGTCTCACTTCAAGGTGCACTGACACATATTTTTTTAGCTTTTAACATTTTGCAGCTTTCATGGGGATAATAGTCTGATAGCTTATAACCACGTGAGTTTGTTACTTTACCATTACAACACAGATACATTATTGCAATAGAAGACTCACAGTGTAATATATATATATATATATATATATACTCTCTCTGTTGTCGTGATTGTAATGAAAGTACCACATTGTTATACATTGTGGTACATTGGCACAGTTTTAATTTATTTTTGTATATTTTCAGTTGTCTGACAAAATTAGAAGTTTTTTTTGTCTTTAAAGCACAATGCCTCCTCCTTAGCCAGATATTCCTTTTCACTAACTGTGTTCCTGGACTGGCCTCTGCCTCTCAATATAAACTGAGCCAGTGACAACAGGATGAGTTGAGCTGCTGGGAGACAGAGGCTGCAGAATGAAAGAACAGAACAGCCAGAAAGACATATAGCAAACACAATTGAGCAGGAAGTTTGAGCCGTAATAGGTAGTTCTTCTGATGTGGGCGCATGTTTATTATGTTAAGAACCGCAAACGCCTCTGAAAGGCAACTTCTATCCTAAGTGACTCGGTCCAACTTAGGCGTTCTCTGGTCTCCGTTGACGGCTGAATTCAGGGAAGAACGATGGAGCAAAAATGACACACGCACACAGTTTGCGTTTCCAAAGATCTTCAAATGTATTATGGAAAGGGTGTCATATTTATACAGTATTGATCATGAACTTTGACTTACAAAATAGGTCAAAATATGTGCTTACAAAAGATAAATGTTTATGCTAAAGGCGGAAATAGTGGAAAAAACTGATCTTGCAAAAACCACATATGCCTCGTGGTCAAGCACGTCTTATTATGCATGATACTTTTCTCGGAAGCATCAGGTCAACGTTAGTTTGCGGATGCGTCTGTTGTTTCAAAAGCAGAAGTTATAAATCAAAAATAACCTGTGGTTTGTCTGGTTTTTAGCTCTTGTGTAAATCTTTAGAAAGAGAATATAATATCAGATTTATAGAATTTTGACCTTGACAACTTCTCTTCAAATACAAGAGACATGCAGAGAGGTTATTTTTGGGATTTGGGGCACCCTTGACAATTTCTCTAAGTACATTAGGGGCCAAGGTTTTTTATGAAAAGTTGTGAGCCAATGGTCATAAAAGGAAATGCACCTTGATCATTTACTGACATACCTGCAAACTGAGAGGTTTAGGCTATGTCGAGATCTTTGTCTTCCTGGTCTGATTTAGCTGTTGACCTAGTTACTATTTGCTTGTCTGCCTTATCTGGGTTTTGTAGTATAACCCTGCCAGCTCCCTTTTGTTTTTCCTGTGCTGTGGTATATTTCACAGAATGGCAAAGTTACCTTTCAGCTTGGTGTCAGAAGTGGGATGTAGCCAAACCATTGATTACGGGTGAGTAGTAATTCCTTGTGTCTATTTTGACGCCCTGAATCTATGATCCCTGTGGTTTTGTAAGTCTACATTTATTCTAGGAAAGGTTATTTTATATACATGTATTGTGACTCAGTTTACATAAAGGTCCAGATTTTAGTCTAGTAAGGGAACTAGACCGGTCTAGTAAGGGAACTAGACTGTAGTAATTTAAGGTGCCTGCCTATAGAGAGATATAGGTGATTTATTAGTATGTAAGTGAATATACTAGGGTTAGAGATAAAGTGTACACAAGTAATGAAACTTGCCTTCTCTGGTCCCTAGTTGTAAAAAGGCATGGCCATGGTATGGCCCAGACCCAGATTGGGATAAAGAATATATGGAACAAGGTGGAATAAATTGGCTTCGGGTAGCCCCACATTGGTATCCTACTGACCCTGATGGTAACATTTTCAAAGGAAAAAAAAGGTTGGAAGCTTCAAGTTTAGGCACAGGTACACCTATTACATCCCCTACAGCAAATCAGGTCCCCAGTGCAGCTCCACCGCCCTATGCCTCAGCTATTCCTGCCTCTACTGGCACATATCCATCCCTCAAAGGCCTCACAGGACCTACCAATACTAATGATAATGATGATGATGAGATTCATTAACTCTTTCTATCCCTTCAGCCTCTACAGTAACATATACCGTTTCCTGCTTGAAACAACTTGTTACAAACATATTACAAAAGTGTAAACTTAATGCAAAACAAACAAAAAATGTGGACCCAATAAATCCGTTACAGCCCAGTGCTCATCCTGCTCCTCATGTCAAGTTTTCCAACACGGTCACCCGATTATACAAAAACAATAAATATACGGGATGCCCAACAGTGCCAGTGAAAATATAAATAAAACCTACTTTCCAAATTTGACAATATCTTATCTTACAAGAATATGTGCAAATCTATAGGAAACAAAAACAAAAGATAAATCATAGCCTAACACAATAAGCAAAAAACAAAACACAAGGAATAGAACTCACACGTAATAGAGCCATGACCAGAATCTTTATAGCATTTTCTGCTTCCCCCTATCAGTCTAACATGGTCATTGAATGTATAATGTAGGATATCCATAGGTATAGACAGTTGTAGATTTAATTAAAAAAATCACATATAAAGAGGGTAGGCTAAAAAAACAAGCTAAATTACACAATAAAATAAACAATTGCTTTGTCAAATATAAAATACCACTGGCAAACCTCCCAGGAAAAGTAAATGCATTTCGGATTTGTATGCCAAATTCTGAAGGTTATTCATGAATGACGTATCTCACCTCAATTAATCCAGCCCATCCACCAAATTCAACATCCAAGTCCACATTAAAATGTAAGGCTTCCTTACTAATAGAGCTCTGTTATGTACGTGACATTGATGCACATGACCTCATGTGACCAATTGTGGCCTCTTATTTATTTATTATTGGTATTTATTACTGGTATTTATAAAGCGCCAACAGATTCTGCAGCACTGTACAATTAGTGGAGGACGTAAAATATACACAGAAAAATACAAAAAGTAGAGAGGGCCCTGCCCGTAAGCTGAGATCTAGCCATTTAAGCTCTTTTACACAAAGTGCTTAGCTAGATAGCCCGTGAGCTTAGAATCTAAGGGATATTGTGGGGATTTGAGACAAGAGGTGGCAGGGGAAATTTGGAAGTGATGGCTAAAATAGTAAACAGAGAGAATCAGCTATTAGTATAATATAAAGGGAATGACAAGGTAATTGAGTGAGAATTTTAAACAGCTGGAGGAGCATGCTATAAATTTGGTAAATTAGGAAGCAAGTTTTTGACAGAAGCCAACTGCGCAGTTAGTTCTTCATATCAGATTTCTTAAAGTATGTTGCATACTGTCCCCTTTTATAGACCTGACCTGGGTGTTGACCTCTGTTGGCAGCAGCTGGAGAGCTATTTATGTAGCAGGATGTTGTGGGGGTAGGGTCATCGGTTCAGGGGTTATTTCACACCTGTTGCATATTTATAAATTACGCAGTTGGTGGTCTATATTACAGCCTTCTATTCCATACTCT